TTTTGGTCTTTTTGAGACAGGGTCTCCCTGTATCCCCAGCTGTCCTGGAACTCTCTGTACATGTAGACCAGGCTAACCTTGAACTCATAGATCTGCCTTATTTTTTTATGTGTACGAGTGTATTGCCTGCATGTGTGTAAGTATACCTATGTTGTGTACTGCCCATGGAGGTCAGTAGAGGTAGTTGGCTCCTCTGGAACTGGAGTTACAGGTGGTTGTTAGCTGCCATATGGGTGCTGGGAACCAAACCTGGGTCCTCTGCAAGAGCAGCCAGTGCTTTTAACTGCTGAGCCACCTCTCCAGCCTCCAAAACTATAATTTTTTAAAGTTCATTGTTAAGAATCTCGATGTCCCCCATGGGGAAAATATTTCGTTGTTCTTGTGTTCTTTGAATTGAATTTATGTTCCAAAGCGAACCCACACCTATGTAATGGATTAACAGCTATTTTTGTTTTGAAAGTCAGAAAGAAATTATGACATAATTTTAGTAGTTGAAGAAGCCACAATCTTGAGTAGTAAGAATTATCTTAAACTGGTATCTAAGGAAAAGTTTGAAATTTGAAAGAAGGTCTTAGAAAGTTAGGGAAATTCTAAAAGAGGGTTCTCTGGATTTGATTTGATTTGTTTGTTTAGATTACGTATGTGTATGGAGCATAGTACACACAGCAAGTCCCACTGTTCTCACTCCCATTGGCTTCCAAGTGCTTTGATTTTATGTGTTTGTTCAGGGGAACTCTTAGTCTTGGCATTCCTTTTTATTTACCTCTTGCAACCCTCAGGAGATCCTCTTACCTGGAGTCTCATGTATTCAGGTGTTTTGCAGCAGTGTGTCTACTGGGTCATAAAATTTGCAATGAAATAGTTGCTATGACCATTACCCTCTTGTTCTCTGAAAACAAGGGTTTCTTTTCTATTCATGCAGCCATGAAGCTGTCAGAGAGTAATTGCTCATTTAAAGGACAGCGTTACCTTTTCTTTGATCAGTCAGTGTGTGTCTGAGTCCCTAGGGAAGACTTCACACAATGGGTGATACCACCGGCCTTCCATTTACTTTGGTGTATTCACACATATCCATTAAAGGCTTTTTGCCACAAAGACAGAACAACAGATGACTGTGGGCTAAAACTTCCAAACTGAGCCAAATATACCTTTCCTCCATAAAAGCTGATTCTCCCAGGTACTTTGTCACAGTGATGGAAAGCTGACTGACATAGTTGCAAATCCTGACAAAGATTTATATTTTCCATGATTTGTTCAAATCCATGACCTCCCATGCCATAGCCAAAAACATACATTCTTTAGAAGACTGTTGGGAATTGGTGTGTATGAGTTGAAGAAGCCCCTCTGTCCCTCTGTTACAGAAACTTACATTCTGTAGTTGATTTTCCCTTAGATGCTGGTCCCAGTCCTCGTGTTCTGCAGGCAGGAGGGCCGGTACTCGCAGCAGCGACAATACCTTGTTCTGAGGCAGCGCGATAATGGCCAGATGTGTTTTTAAAATTTTTTTTTGTTGTTGTTCTGTATAAAGTAAACCAGACAGCCAGTTTAGTACAGGATGCCCTCCAGTTTTCTTTGTCTGTTTGTTTGTTTACCTCTGGAAGTGGCTAGGTAGGGAATGTGGTGCTGCAGCTTAGTCTGACACTGGTATGGGAAGCTCTACAATGCCCCCAAAGCACTTGTAGCAGGAAATGTGTTTCAGGATAACTTTTCTCCTTATGTTTTCTACCTGCTGTCTTGTCTGTACCAAAGCAGCAGGTGTTCCGCAGCTGGGTGTGGCATCATGGCATGGTTTTTAAATTTGGTTTGGGGTTTTGGTTTCACGGGTGTGGTTTTGAAAGGGATCTGCTAAGAAGTCCAGAAATAGAATGAAGAGACAAGACTTCACTGAAATTATCTGGTGTGAGTCAGTTTCCAACACCATAGCATACCTGAGGTGCTCACCTTGTCTGTCATGAGGGCGGCTTCAGCGTGCCTTGTGGCTTGGGAGGTTTTTCACCTGTGCTCAGTTGGCTCTGCTACTTTGTGGCCTGTGGTGAGAGGTTGGTGCCTCAGGGCAAGGAGCAGGTGAAGCAAGCTACTTACCTCATGTCTGTTGGGAAACTGAAAGAAGAAACTGCAGAGTCCCACAGTCTCCTTTAAGGACACACCCTTAGAGACCTAAACCCTTCCATCACCTTCCAATAGCAGCAAGCTGAGGACCAAACTTTAATATGTGAGTCTGTGTGGGACATCCCAGGTCAGCAGAGGAGTGGTTGGTCTTAGAAAGAAACAGGAGACACCTTGGAGACTAGAAGAGTGTTCTAGTCTCATTTCTGTGGTTGAGATAAAAAGTCCTGACAACAGGCAACTTGAGAGAAAGGGGCTTTATCTGATTTACAATTCCAGGTTACAGGCTGTCATTGAGGGGTGGTCAAGGCATGAAGCAGGTCACACCACATCCATAGTCAAAAGAAACACATGCATCCTTGCTTGTCTGATGGGACTCAGCTGGTTTCTTCCTCTCTTACACTCTTCAGGACCCTCTGCCTAGGGAATGGTGCTGCCCAGAACTGGCTGAGTCATCCTGTGTTAATTAACTGAAACATGCCCACAGGCTGATCTAGATAGCTTCTCATTAAGATTCTCTTCCCAGATTCTAGGTTGTGTCTAGTTGGTTAGTTAAAACTAACTAGCACAAAGGGGTTGACAGAATTTTTTTTTAAAGGCTAGATTAAATTTTTTATTTATAATTTTTATGAAGTAGTGGCAAATTGTTTTTCTCAATACAGAGCAATAAAATCGAAGTCAGTTGATAGGCTGATGCTTGGAAAGTGTATGTCTAGGGTCAGTAAAGTATGTACAAATAGGTTGCACAGGTATCCATTGAGTCAGTGTGGATGACATTATTGAGACTGGTTTGTTGTACTTGAAATTTTGATATTAGGTGAGATTTAACAAAGCTTCTTTGGTTTCAAAATTAGTTGACCTTTTGTGGCTTCATAATGCCCGTGAAAATAAACGTTTAAGTGTTCTGTTAATGAGCATATAGTTATGTGACTAAACATCTAACAAGAGCAACTTAAGGGAAAGATTTATTTTGTCTTGTGGTTTAAGAGGGTATGGTCCAGCATGGCATAGTTCATGGTGTGGGAGGGTCTGACTGGAGTGCCTCACATCCTCCAACCAGGAAGCACAGAGCAGAGAGTGCTGGTCCTCCTTTTTACCTTTTCAGTGGGTCTTTTCTCCTCAGTTAAACCTCTCTGGAAGACACCCTCAGTCCCTCACAGAGGTGTGTCTACTAGGTGATTTCCAAACATAGTCAAGTTGTCAGTGAAGATAAACTATCACATGGTATTTTAAGAGTAAGTCCAGACATCGGGAAAACTGTCCATTTATGACTTAAAACAGAAAATAGGTAAAATGTCCTCTGAAAAAAATCTTTCAAAAAAGCTGTCAAATCTTTATCATGAGTTTTAAGATCTAGCTTTATGTTTTAAAGACTATTGCTAGGTTTATTTACTTATTTATTTATGACATTGAGTGTCTTCCTCATTCATTTTCCACTTCATTTTTTGAGACAGAATCTCCTCTCACTGAACCTGAGCTCATCAGTTTGCCTAGACTGGCATTAAGCTCCGGGGATCTGCCTGTCTTCCATGCCCCAGTGCTGGGGTTAGCTCTAGGAAGGAGGGGGAGACTAGTAAACAACTTCAGGAACTCTAGAAATGAGACATTGGGATGGGACAGTGTAAACTGTTGAGAGCAAAAGACTGCGAGTAACAAATCAAGGTATAACAACGTGAACCACAGATGCCGAAGATGCTCTGGCCCAGGTGTGGTGGCACGTGCCTTTAATCCCAGAACTCTGGAGCAGAGGCAAGTAGATCTTTGTGAGTTCAAGGGCAGCCTGGTCCACATAGTAAATTCCAGAACAGCTAGGGCTACACAGTGTGATCCTGTTTGGAAAAAAACAAAAGAAGAAAATGCTTTGAAATACTCTACCAGATGAAAATGGAAGCATGCCACAGTTGGAAAGACAGAGACACAAACAAGAGTAGGCAACAGGCTGGAGAGATGCTCAGCGGTTAAGAACACTGGTTGTTCTTGCAGAAGACCTGGGTTTGAATCCCAGCACACACATGGCAGCTAACAACTGTCTGTAACTCCAGTCCCAGGGGATCCAACAGCCTCTTCTGATCTCGGCGGGCATTGCACCACACAAGTGCACTTATCTACAGGCAATACACTCATACACATAAAATAAAAATAATAAATAAAATGTTTAAAAAAAAAAAAGAGTAGGCAACAAATGAATTTTCCCTAGGACGCTTTCACAGTGGTACAGGTCCTTAAATCTAAGCAGATAGAACTAATTAAGCTCTGTTCTGTGCTGGAGCATGCCTCAATGGTAGAGCTCTTGCGTTTTGTGCATGAATACCTGGGTTCAGTCCATAGCACTACAGAAGAGATAAAAACAAAGCAACATTAGGGGCCAGTGAGAAGGTTCAGTGGGTAAAGACACTTGCTGCACAAGCCTGGTTACCTGAGTTCAATCCCTGGAACCCACAGGGTGGAAGGAGAGAACCAACTCTCTCTCTCTCTCTCTCTCTCTCTCTCTCTCTCTCTCTCTCAATAATTTTTAAGAAATTCATCAGCCCTGTTTTTTGTATCTCCACCCCAATCCATTCTACATCCCCACTTGCTCTTATCACTTTGAGGGTATCTGAGAAGGGAGCATGTCATTCAGACATCTGGATCTGGAAAACATGTTTTTCAAACACTTCCTTCATTGCACAGGTTGATTAAAGCATTGGTAGTCAAGGTGCCCCAAGCAGAAGCCGCCCTGGTAGAAGAAACTCACGGACAGGATTCCCACTGGGAGCCTGAGAACTCAGCTCTGCTCATTGACTAGAAATTGCACAAAAATTGCTTCTCAGTGACAGAACTGTGTCTTCATTTAGCAGTAAATTGCCTTTTCTTCTTTTTCAAATGTAGGTTATATATTTGGGGAGGACTCCGGAAGATGCATATAGAACATTAATCTTTGGAGATACAACCTATATTCCTTTCAGGTAAATGTAAAAATGTAGATTTATTTAATCGGACCATGGCTAGAAATGTCTTGATGGTAGTTTCTGAGAACAAGAAGACCTGGCAGCTGGGCTTGGTAGGTGCTACAAGCCACACTGTAGGTCTAGGGTTCTTGACAGTGACACTGGACGTGTTGTCACAGGGGCTGCTGTGTCCATCCCTCATAGGTGTTTTGCAGTATCCCTGGCTTCTGCTTACTAGACCCCAGTAACATCCCCATTCCCCCTCCAGTTGTCAGAACCCCGAATGTCTCCTGGCCATTGCTGGCTGTCTCTAGAAATGGTTGGGGTGGAGTGGGGAGCTCCATCTTCCCTGGCTGAGAACTACTATATAACCTGGTGAATCCTGGAGTTACTGTGCTCAGCACTAACAGACTCCTGAGCAACTGAGCAAGGAGTTTCCCGCACCAGGAGGTACTCTTTGGGGCAGCAGTTGACCCTTGTTTTCCAGGAGCACAGCCAGCAGAGGTAGCAGGTGCAGTTACTCACGTGGAACCCTGAGCAGCCAAACCTGTTGGGTAGCTGTGCTGTGCAGGTGGCAGGCAGCGTCGTCCCACAAGCCAGAAACAGCCTCACCTCAGGCCTACCATGTGATTGTCTGAAAAGGTTTTTAAAAAACAAACTTGTGGGTTTTCTTTGTGTGAACTCTTACTTGTTTCATAGGTTGTTGATAATTTCATAATTGTTGATAATAGCATCTTCCATTTATAAATTGGTCAATTCAATTTAGACTTCCTGTGTATACTTCACATGCCTGATTCTTTTTTGTCAGTTTGTCTTTTAAAAGCTCACAGAGTGGGTGAGATGGCTCAATGGATAAAGGCACTTGAGGATGAGGCCACCCTATTTGAGTTTGATCCCTGGGACCCACATGGTAGAAAGAGAGAACCAATTTCCAGTTATCCTCTGACCTCCACACATGTACTGTGGCTTATGCACATACACATGAATAAATAAATGTAAAAAATGTTTAACATATAAACAAAAACCCTCTAACTGTATGAATCTGGTTCACTGTGGATGAACTGTGGGATGAATCTTCCATCAAAGGCAGAATCCCTCACACAGCTCTGTGGGACCTTCACGGCCCTTCTCCATGAGGACAGAGCCTTGTTGGAGCAGTGTTTTTTGAGAATTCAGGGATCTAGTTGCTGGAGGCTGTGACTGGGCCAGTGTCACTCCTTTCTTGCTGGCTCCTGGAGCAACCCAAGTTCTGTTATTTGAGGTGGACAGGAAGAGGGGAGAAGAAGGCACTGAACTGAAGTGGATCACTCACCTTTTCAAAAACTTTATAACAGAACCATTTGCCTCTGTTAGAAGCAGTGCTTGTATCTGTGGGCCCCGAATGGTGACATATGGATCATCTGTTGCTGCACAGTGATAGTCTGGTTCTCCAGAACTCTAGAGTGGTAATCCCTCCTTGCCATTCTCATAACTGCCAGCACAAAGACCTATTGTGGGAACAGGCTCACGATCCTTGCCAGAATGTAGCACAGAAGGCCAGTTCCCAGTGCAGCACCCCCATGGTCCTGATTATATGTCAGGTTTAATATTTACTATGCCACATTCTATTTATTACTTGTCTTACTATTTTAATCAAATTGAATTCCACACAATCTATCTGTGACACACTATTGATAAGAAAAATGAGGTTTTTAAATACAAGTGCTACAAACAAAATAAATGTCACTGTCATGACTGAGTTTGAAATGATTGAAATTTGACACTCAGGCATGAAGCTAGTTACTTATAATCACAGGAACACCAGGCAGAAATTTTCTGCTTGGGCAGCTGGAGGCACTGGGGAACTTCAGTCAAGGGGGTCACATTTACCCATGGCAGTGTGTCTCTGAACTTCGGTGATCACTAGGAACGCTAGTGATGAAGTACAAAACTTGAGAGATTTTTAGGCACCTTTATATTAATTTAGTAGAGTAATGTTTCAATCCATGGAATCAGATAATGGGAGAATTTGGACTTCAATTCTATCTTTTCCCTCTTCTGTGTTATTTTTGGCTACAAAATTAAGATTATTGTATTCTCAGGCTGGACATAGTGATGCACACAACATTTGAGAGGCAGAGCGAATTGCTGTGAATTTGAGGCCAGCCTGGTCTACATAATGAGTTCCAGGCCAGCTGGGACCAAAGGGAGACCCTCTCTCAAACAAAATAAAACAAAGATTATTGTATTCTCACAGGCATGTAATAGCTACAACATTTCTCTTTAATACTCATTGTATTTTATAAAAGTATCAGCCTATGAAAGACTTAAAATAATAAAATTTTGTGCCTTGTCACATTTTACTGTTATATAGAATTTACTAATCAGAAAGTAGGTGGAGTACACTTTTAATCCCAGCACTTGTGTGGCAGAGGCAGGAGAATCAAAAGACCAAGCCTGGGCTGTAGAGTGAGTCCTTATCTTTTTTTTTGAAAAAAGCCAGTCAGAATTACTAAGGCTTGACGATATTTTGAAACAACTTAGACCTCTATTGTCCTTGCTACTTCAAATGCATAGAATAAGTTTAATGAAGGATGCTAATGAGGTTGTACAAGAAAAGCAAATTCAATTTAGATCTAACTTGGACCACTGCATTTTGAACATTCATGACATTATGATCTCCTTATAAAGGGTATTAGGCATTCTCTGTCTTGTTGAGAAAAATAACAGACAACGGGCACTTCTGGTCATTGCCATTGTCTCTGGTGATGCTCTGCTTCTTGCTGTTGCTGGCCTTTGCTTTTCCTTTGGGTCTCCGTTTTCTACTCGTCTGAGAGATAGTTTGCATGGTTTCCTGAGCCTCCTGTTGCCACTTCCCCACTGCTGGGATTCCAGGCATCCTCTGTCATGCCCAGCTTGTGTGGCTTAGCCCTTAATAGTTTGCCTTTTTTAAAATTTTTTAAATTACATAGAGAGTTGATTCTTAGCTTTGCTGTCTCTATGGTCCTTTACAAATTTGATTCTTGACAATGATGGATTATGTACACAAAGACATCTTAAAAATAAAAGGCATACTATAGTACCTGCCTTTACCCATCATTTGTTCCATATTTTTATCCCTTCCTCTCCCTTCTTTTAATTAAAAAAAGACTTTATAGCCAGGCATGGTGGCGCATGCCTTTAATCCCAGCACTCGGGAGGCAGAGGCAGGCGGATCTCTGTGAGTTCAAGGCCAGCCTGGTCTACATAGTGAGTTACAGGACGGCTGGGGCTACAGGGAGACCCTGTCTAGGGAGACCCTGTCTCAAAAAGACTGAAAAAAAAGGGTTTCCGAAAGGCTGAGCAGGGGCCAGTGATCAAGCCAGTAAACAGCGTTCCTCCATGGCCTGTGCTCCAGCTCCTGCCTCCAGGTTCCTGTCTGAGTTCCTATCTTGGGCTCCCTGAT